ATCTTTTTCATGCCCATATGCTTTTATTTTAAACCGTTTTATTGAGGTCTGATTGACATATAAAAAGTTGTACATATTTAATGTATACAGCTCCATGAGTTTGGAGGTAAGTATATACTGTGAAAGTGTCACCATCAAGGTCAGAAACAGATCTATCACCTTCCAAAGTTTTTTCCCACCTCCTTTATCATTTTTATTAATTTTTATGTGTGTAATGTAAGAACACTTAACATAGGATCTGCCCTCTTAGTCAATTTTAGTATACAGTACAGTACTGTGAGGAGGACATTATGCTAAGTGAAATAATACAGACACAGAAAGACAAATACTGTATGATATCACTTATATGAGGAATCAAAAATAGACTCAGAGAAGCGAAGAATAGAATGGTGGTTGCCTGGGACTGAATAAGGGAAGAAATGGGAAGGGAATGGTAAAAAGTACAAAGTTTCAGTTTGCAAGATAAGTATATTCTGGAGACTTACTGTATAGTCCATATGTTTTGCATGTGCTGCTCTATTTTCTTGAAATAACTTCCTTCTTTATCTAAAGAGCCATAACTAAACTCGAATTTCACCTGTTTTGTGATGTGTTCCTTAAATTCCTCCTTAATTTCTCCTAAGTGTAATAAATTATTTCACCTACCATGCTCCCATGGAATCCTGTGCCCATGATTGTTGTACCATAGTGTATTGTCATGACTGGTTCACATCCATTTAGGTTGTTAGTTCAGCAAATGTGTTATTTTCCTTTTGGGTTCCGAAGATTGTAGTAGGTACAGGGGATGTATTGATGGCTATGATATGATTTTTGGTTTTTGTGAACTGTATAGTCACTGATAGAAATAGGCATGGAAGTGGATAATCTCAATGCTATGTGAATACACAGTCATAGAACTATGCTTAAGGAATATAATGCATAAAGAAAAGGGTTCATCAACCAGATTTGGACAGGAGGGATTGAGGTAATACCTGAGCCAAATCTGGAAGGGCAAGCAGAAATTAGACCAGAAACAGTACTGGAAGAAGGAGTAGTATTTCATATAGAGGAAAGGCCTGAAAAAGTACTGAGGCAGGAACCACAGGTTGTGTTTGGGGGGGAAATAAGCATGTCAGTATTACTAGAGAACAAATTAGCACATAGGAAGTAGCAACAAATGAAGGAGGCTGAGAGGAGTGTGTGTGGCGGATGATGTGAGGAAGGTATGGAGGGTCTCATCTGCACCGCTAAAGAGCTGGGTGTATCCTGTGAGAGAAGACTTTGCGGTTGTTTGTGTAACATAATAATACACTCAGATGAGAGAAACGTTATTCTCACTGTAGTGTAGAAAAGGCACAAAAAGGAGGGTGGGGGCAGAGCGATGACACAATTTCTCCAAGAGAGATGGAGAAGGTCTAAACTTGAGGATGGATCTAGGGAGCTGTAACTAAAGCATTGTCTGCCATGAATGTGCAATGATTCATCTTTGCTGATGAATGAATGAATGAATGAATGAATGTGATTCTTTAAATTAAAGTTTAACTACTTTGTCTTATAGCAAGAAAATTGTTACGTTGAGTCACTATCTTATTACTACCAGAGTAGGTTTTTTAATTCACTCTAATTATGTATCTGCCCAACACTAAGTATGATTGGAAATTTCAATTAGCCATAAATCATGCATTCTCAGTTTCAATATTACCCCCAAAGGGTTAAAAATTGGGAGGGCAAATAAAATAATTACTCTTTTTATCTACAGCAAATAAATGCAAACAGTACATAAACAGATATACAGTCTATCTGTAGTATTAAATTTTCATGAAAGATGAGGGTGAGTAGGGAAAAATATTTTAAAAGGCTCCATGGGGGGGGAGGTCAATAATGAAAAGGGTTTTTAAAATGCTTTTCTAAATAATTACTGTAACTTGAGCAGCATTTGCTAGTCTTAATCCAGTATATTGAGTGTTTTTGTTTAACATAATTCTACTTAAGACTGTCTAAGTATTTGAGATTCAATTTGGCATTATTGAGTGTTTTTTTTCTTAGGTCTCGTATTAACTTTAGGAAAACATATCTAAACAGAAAAATAGAACTGTTCCCATTACTCGAATAAATGGTATTTTAAATGTAAAACATATTTCATGCGAGGACTACAAGCTAAAAGGATGTTTCATCAATCCTCAAAGCAATCTGTTTTAGAGAGAAACAGAGAAGACTCTTGTGTTCTCCTAACATCTCTCCATGGGGATAACTTTGTTCTAACTTCAGGCCCATGAATTCTAATCTTAGAGTAGGAGAGGGCATCTGAGGAACAGTTTCTGTGATGATCATTGTTCTAAGATGGGAATTTGGTTGCTCAGGAACCTTCCATGACCTAGTATCCTGGTACCTCAGGATCTGGTGAACCAGGTACTCAGTTAAGATTAATACAGAATCAGCACTGGCCTCAGCTTCACCCTATTCACTCCACCTCTCACCTCTCAAGCTGAGTACCAGTTTATCTGTTGAACAACTATTCTATCTGTTACTCTTTTCAAAAGAGTGTCTGCCTTTTCTAAAACGCCAAGGTCTGCTACCTTCACGACAGGGCTATATCATCTGCTCTAGCAACTCCAGAAGAAAAAGTAATGGAATGCAAACCCCAATGGCTGCACACACATTGCCACAGCATCTGTCTTTCTAATGAACTTGAATACACTTGTGTCTGTGCTATAGAGATCCAGATTTTTCATTTTAAGACAGAATTCTCTTCTGAAACTGTTGCTGTGAGGACCAAATTTCTCCACCTGCCAGTTCATTTTCTGAAGGCATTGGCACTTCATATCCATGCTACAGTCTTTTAGAAGCCACAGGATCCTCTTCTCTTGGTGTCCAACAGAAAATTGTGTATCTGGAAAAACATGCATCAGAATTTTTTTTTTTTTTACATTTTTATTGGGGAATTGGGGGGATGGGAACAGTGCTGGGGAATTGGGGGAAGGGGAACAGACAAGTTGCTGTCGTTTTGTTCTTCAGTCTAGTTGTGGAGGACGTTGCTTCACTGGCCCAAGTTGGCACCATCATTGCGCTCTTCCCAGGCGAGGCAGATCAGTCGCCGGCCTCTGGACAGCCGCTCACTGCGGCTGATGGCCGCTCACGCTGGCTGCTGGCTACACACGGTAGCCCATGGCAACCCACTGCCACAGGGGCTGCAGCCTACACCGTCGCCGGCGACTCACGACAGCCCAGCTCCAGGTTGAGCTGTTGTTCAGCATGTTAGCTGTGGAGGGCAGTGTCACTGGCCCTCATATGTGGGATCCGAACCGGGGCCCTCTGGCATCCCAAGCCAGTTCTTCACCATCGCGCCACTCGGCCGGCCCTGTTGTTCTACATTTCTGAAAGCACTCTATCACCTGGTTTTGTCTGATCACTTCAACGTTTTTAAGACTTTCTTATATTTTGTGATGTAACTTCTTCAAGAGTCCTAACCACATCATTCTTTCTTCCCCCCTCCCCTTCTCTCTCTCTTTCCCTTTCCATCTCATCCAAGAATTTAATGTTCACCAGTGTTTCCTCATACTTTCTTTATCACTGTACTGTCACCTCTCAGGTCCCAGTTTGCTTATCCCTTTGTCATGGAATCCTTCTCTCCTGCTCCCTCAAGTCACAGATTTCACTCCAGGGTTCTGTCTTAGGACATTGCACGTCATTATTAAGATCACCTGTATCTGCATGTTTGCGTCTTCTACTCCTAAGCACACACCATACTTCTGTCAATGAAGAAATGGTATTTCTTCTTCTTGAAAATTCATGACATCATCCTTTATCCCCCATTCTCACCTTTACTCAGACAAATCTTCCTAATTGCTCCACATTCAGGGAGCCTTCTGAAAAGTTTCCCCTGACTTCCCAGGCTAGGCTAGGTGACTGAACCTCTATGCTGCCATGGTAATGAATCATCTTCTATAATGAAAGTCAGATCACACCACTCTTCTGCTCAGAGTCTTCCAGACACTCCCGCATTTCACTCAGAGTAAGCCTCAAAACCCTTGTAGTATTCTAATCTACCGGGCCCTACACAATCTGCCCCCTCTCCTCATATCCCTCTGACTTTATCTCTTACTCCTCTCCCCTTTCTCCAAGCTTCAGCTTGCTACCACTTTAGGGCATGGCTGTAGCTGAAATGCTTCCCCTAGAAGTGCACATGACTAACTTGCTTGTCTCCTTCCAAACTTTGCACAAATGTCCCCTCATCAGTGAGACCTACTAAATCATCCTATTTTAAGTTGCAATTTGCACCACTCGTCTCTACCTGCACACTCTTATACTCCTTATTTGGCTCCATTTTTATAGCACTGATTCCCTCCTGTAAAATGATATAATTTACTTATGATTATTTTTAATTACTGTCTCTCCTTATTAGAACGTAAGCCCCACAAGAGTGAATATTTCTGTCAGTTTTGTTCATTCAAGTTTTCCAAGTGCCTTCAATGGAATATCATAGGTGCTCTGTAAATGTGTTTAAAGGAATGGGCCCTGATTGTACTATATTAAAATTTTCTTTCTTGTCCAACTGCCCACTACTAAATTGTGAACTCTTTGGATGCAGGGATTTTCCTCCTATATCTACTTACAATATCTAGCTCGTTTCCTGAAAATAGTAGGTGTTTAATAAATGTCTGCTAAGTGCATGTATTACCACCCCATGGCTTTGCAGAGTTTGCAATCACACCATGCCAGTCCAGAATACAAGTGTGAGAATGGTGTTTTCTTTGTGGTGAAGCTTCACTGTAAGCTCTCACAGCATCTGAGATCTCCAAAGATGCAGAGACCAACATAGATCAATATGGTGAACACTTCTTCTCCTGTAGAGTCTCTGTAAAGGTTGAGGATTTACCATTGTACATTTGGCCATTTTCCTCCATTCTATAATTGGGGCATTTATTTTAATAAGGTAAGAAACTAAAGGGAAGCCTGGGAATTATGAGCTTGAAAAACCATATCTTGCCCTCTGTGACTTCTCTTTTTCTTTCCTTTCTTAGAGCTCTTCCCGCCATGATGCAGTGGGTCCGCACTCAGAAGCCAGGAGAGAGTGGCATCAATATTGTCACTGCCGATTTTGTGGAACTCGGTGATTTCATCAGCACTGTCATAAAGCTCAACTATGTCTTCGATGAAGGAGAAGCCAACACTTGATAGTACCATGTTGAGCATCCATGAATAAGATAGGGAAGACTCATTGTACTAGGCATATTATCTATAAACACTCTGATCTTCCTATTCCACAGAGTCTCTGAGGGGATTAGGGCTGGTAGTGGGTGGGAAAAGGGGGAATGCATTTCTTGCGTGATTACTATCGTAGTCTTCATTAGTATAAATATTTCATTTCTCTTTGATGAGTAAAATCTACTTCTAGTGTTAGAGATTTAAAGAAAAAGACCAGTGAATTTTGTTTTTCAAAATTAGTCTTTGTAACGTATAATTCATGGGTGTTTATTTGATCGTGTTTCTGATTTCAACCTAGGGCTCCTACACTTTCTATATCCTCTAACTGAACCTTTCTGCTCCCCCTCTCGCTTGCTCTTTTTCATCAGATACTGTATGGGACTCAAAACAATTGAATGCCCAACAGAGTGTGTATTACATTGTTGTACTGAAATTTATTTGTTGTGTGAGATTTGGTATAATAGTCTGCAGTCATCTGCCACTGGGCAATCATCGCTATATTTTTTGTCATAGAAAATATGCATCAAATCAGTTTCCCTGTGTCAGTAATATTGGAGGACATAATAGTGATTTTTGTGTTATATAGAAATAATAGTGTTTCACAGTATTTCTGTTTAAGGCAGCTATAAATATAGAGTAAGCACTTCTTTGGAAGAACTATTAGTGCCAACTCCATAGTGAAAAATGGGGGAGGGGGAAGAGATGGTTGCTATTTTAATTCAGGAATCTCTTAAATAATATTGCCCTGCAAATGCCCAGTAAGTGAAAAATTATAAGTGACAAGTGTGTTAAAATCAGAGAACTCTGAAAAGAGCACTTACAAAAGCTCTCCTAAGAATTCTCTTGATTTAAAACCAAAAGCAAGAAAAGAAATAAAAGATTGTGCAAGCTTTCCTATAAATTAGGATTTCCAAATATATAATTCTGAATCCCAGATTTTGAGGAACATACGTGTATTTCAAGAAGCTTTAATTCAGGTGTTTTACTTGAAGTTGAAGAAAGAGGAAAGGTGGCAAAAGGAGCCAGAGCAATATTTTTGAAACTATGTCCAGGAAATATCAATGATCCATGAACCTTCTTTAGAAGATTCTTAAATACATGTAATCTGGGCAGACTTGCAGAAAATGGGCACTGAGTCATCCCTTCTGGTTTCCTTCCTACCGTGGGGTCAAGAATGAGGCAGAGGCAAAAGTTTCTGTGGTCCAGCCTTTGACAGACCAGGTCTACAGGGAAGACAAATGATAATGAACCGCTGTTGCTCAGAGCTCAAACTCTTGAGCGAGCTCTTAACCAACTGAGCCACTCGGCCGGCCCCAGATAATGCAACTTTGAGTATTGCTTCCTCCTTGTTGTCTTTGTGATATCTGACAATTCAGAAATAATCTTAAAGAGCACAATAACCCTTACTTACTTGCTGCAAGGAATATCGTGAGAACATATATAAAAATTTATAAAATTTGCTCAAATTCTTATGATTGTGCATTATTTTATCCTCATGTTTAGAAATAACCATACTTCAATAGTTTCCTGGGAAACAGTCCACTTAAAGTGGGACAGTAAAGAAACAAAAGCATGCCCTCAGCTTTTAGTTCATCTAAATGTAAGACATGTGGTTAAATCTCTTAGACCTAGGAAAGGGAGTTTATTCCAAGATTACGTAAGTCAAGATTACAAATAATCAACAGTTAATTATAAGATTATAAATACTAATTATCAGAAAAATAGTATTTAGTAACAACTGCAAGGGAAGAGAAATTGTTTATACTGAAGAGTTTGTAGGTATGTGTGGTAAACCAAGTAGCATGTATATACATGCAACAGATATTTTCTACCTTCCAATTGTGTGTATATGGCTCACCAGACCCAAAATACCAATACATACCCACTCTGTGCAGGCCGACAGATACAAATACACACACAGACATGGATGGACACATTCTTCTTTTCAAGTGAAAACATTGATATTATTAAATAGTTTGATTTTAAGACTTAAACCCTGTACAGTGTATGAAAAAGAGTGATCAGACATTTGAAAATAGAGTAGCTGATCGTATTAAAATATTTTTGTAAAAATCATCTAGCTTAGGACTAAATTATTTACAAATATAGTTTTCTTTCTGCTTTGTGGTTTTATTGTCTTTCTATCTCTTTCACTTGCTCTTTATGTGCAATTGAATATGAATCCTTTTTAAAGGGTTATGGATTATTAAAATTGATGTCCTGTAAATTTGCTTTTTGGGCAGATTTTCTCTCTGACTCTTCATTATTCATTCCTCAGGAGGATCTTTAGCCAAGCACACTTGAAGTGACACAAAATTTAACTTATAAATATAATAGAAAACAGATCTTTCAACATATTAATGAATAATAAACTATAGAGATAACTATGTTGTATTTTCTTGAACCTAGATGCTTTCTTATGAAGTTTGCTTGAATTAGCTTTGCCGCATTTATCATTTGGGTGCTGGAAAAAACAAACAAACATGCTGACGGATTAGACTAATTGTGCAATTTCTTAACCGGAGAAAGCTTTCTATTGTTATTAATGATATGCACACAGAAACCTTGTTTGACATCAGGTACTTTAGAGCCAATGTTATTGTTCTCACGTGGACCTACTGTACCTATGTAGCAGGCCCTAAGAGTAAATGGACTTGCCTTAATTTCTAAAGGGAAGAGTAGGTAGAAGTGAACTGTGGGTCTTCCAACTGGAGAGAGAGTTCACTAGGAGGGATTCCTTTAAAAGGGGAATAGAGAGAAGGTGCCTTTGACTGTCTTCTGTTCATTGGACCTGCCCTGGAGTACACTAAGGAGCAGGCTGTGAGCCTTAAATAAAAAGATGGGGGTGAGGACTAGTGATACGCAATCAGGACTTAGCCTCAGCCTATGCTTCTTTGTCTTAGCTGGTCATTGTCTCCCCCGAGAGCTAGGAGCACAAGGGCTATACACAGGCCCCAAGGTGGTAGGAGATACATCTTGGTGCACTTTCTGTTTTGCTTGTTTCTTCAGACTTTATGTCACAAATTCTGCAAGGCAAAAAAACAGAAACAAAATCCAACTTTTACCTAATCTACAGCAGGAAGTCGAAGGAATGGGTGGGATGAGGGAAAATGCGCAGAGTTTAATTTTTTTGGTTTGCTTGCCTGTCTGTAATTTTGAAGGACCAAAAAGGAATGCTCCTGCCATTATCATTTATGTCTCCCTTATTAGATACAATCATACGAATGCGGAGAACGAGGAGGCATCTTTTAAAAGCCTTAGGATATTCTGTATGATGACCTCAATATTCACTTTCAGCCATATTAGGAAATGTCACTTTTCATGGAGCGCCACCTAACAGTGAATGTATTATATTAGTACATAAAGTGTCTGGCATGTATGCGCCTATGTGCCTACACACATGCAAACACACACACATACACACACAGACGCACACCATGCACATCTGCCACACACACATTATCAAGTTGAAACTTCACTCTAATCACTCAGCCTAATTCTATTGCCATTTTAATTCTTAATATCAGTATCTCCTATGTTAGTAGGCATAAACATAATTCAAATATTTAAACATTTAAGAAGGGAAAAATCACTAGAAAAACCATCATAAATAAGAAATGTCTAGCAGTGATAGTCTAACTACATTATCAATTACACTTCAAGCTGGAGAATTGAAGATGGACTCAAATATAAATTGCAAACAAACAAACCCTCATCTTCACTTAAACTTATTTTAAGTTCTTTGAGGTTCTGATGTGTTTTAGCCAGGGTTACTTGTTCAGGTTCTCCCCTGTTGGGATTCTAGACTGGGAAGTTGGAAGTCTCAGGAAACGCATGTTGTCATGAGTTTTTCAGTTCTGTGGTTTTACAGATCCAATGACACAATCTTCTAACTTTTAGTCACTCGTCCAAATGAGAGCTCCCTAGGTAGAGTGCTCACATTTTGAACTGCTGATAGAAAACAATGCACAGTGTCTCTCAGGATATGCTAAACAAGGTTTGTGAAAGTATTTTATTTTACAGCACTTTAGTCTTTTCAACTAGATTTCAATGACACAATGGTGTAAATGCTATATTTGCCATAACTTATTGGTGGCACCTGTGTTACATGCAGTTTTAAATAACGCTCTAACTTGTTGTTTTCCCAATGACAATGATAAAATGTTCTGTAGAATTTGTAAAATGTGTTGATTATGTTGAAAATTGTGTAATTTTCATTTCATTTGTGAGACTATTTTGTAGGTATTAGTTCTAAATGTGTATTTGTATTAGTCAAAAGTATGTACTTGTATGTGGTATATGTATCTTATTAAAAGTATATTGTATCTTATTTAAAAAAATCAAACTTATCCTAAAGAAAAAGGGCACATTATGACCAGCCTTAATGCATTGTCATTTTTTTACTGTTGCAATTTAGGATTAAAATTTGAAGAGACATTATGTCGTAGTTAAAAATGACATTTAAAAAAATCATATGAGGAATGTGCTTTAGAAGTTATTTGAGTTCCCACAAAGCACAAACAACAGTTCAGCTTGTGGGGCTCCCCATGCTTCTCCAAAATTTCAAAGGTCAATTTGTTAAATTCATTATCATACAGGGAGACTAAATTCACATTTGTTTCCATCAGCAACAACCAGTTCACCTCTAAAGTTGTTCTTCCAAATATTATCTCATTTTGCCTATAAGGATAAGTTTTCCATGAAAGGCCCTTTCTCCAAACCATTACTGTTTGAAAATGGTATCTTCTCAGCTAAGACGAACTACCTTGGCTCTGTAAGAGTCGCTAAAGACCCATCAACATTAGGGGGTTCCTGCGTGGTTCCCTTCCCAAAAAACAAGCATGTGACACTCTTACACTTTTGGAACCTGCCTATGTGTAGTCTAGCAATAGAAAACTCATGACTAATTCGAGGATCTGCACAGGTTGTCATGCTTGAAGAAAAACTCTGTAATCTTCCTTGGGCCTGGGATCTGGGGATGGACTATTAATCAATCTTCCTATTTCCTCTCTTCCTTCAGCCTAATTACTTCTTTTCCATATTTAGCATTGCCAGATAAAATACAGAACACCAGTGAAATTCAAGTTTCAGAGAAACAATGGATACTTTTTTCAGTATAAGAATTTCCCAAATATTTCATGAGACATGCTAAAATAATTATTCATTGTTTATCTGAAATTGAATTTAACTGGGTGTCCTGTAATTTTTTTTTCTAATCTGGCAACCCTCTCCATCTTGCCCCTCTTTTTCAGCTGGGATACCTACGAGGGGTGAAATCCTACCTCCTCCCATGCCCCCTTTTAAGATACTTCATGTAAATCAATAGTCCAAATACTGTTCGTGAAGGAAAATGTTGAGCCATGCCAAGTCCCACAGATGCTTTAAGAAGGACCAATTCAAATATAGATGGAATAATCAAGCACATACCTTTGTAGGATTAAGGCCACATTCAAAATTTCACTCCACTGGCCTATTGTGAGGTGCAGTGTCTCCTCCATTACTCCCTTAAAAGGCATTCCCCGGAAATTGGGATAACCAAAAACACCCACACTTGAAAAATGTCCCCTGGAAAGTAGTAGTACCTTCTAACTCAGTACCAAGACCTCTTTCAAAATTCAATTTCTTTCAGAGAGGTAACAAAATAATCCATTACTCCCCCTTATTATTATCTTACCACAAATTATCTTTATCATATTAGAGCTGGTCCCCAATGGAATTGTAGAAAAAATTGACATTGAAAAGAACTTTCTTGACTGCTGGAAGAAAACAGAGGAGTCTGAGATATAGACACAGCCCTGTCGGTGAGTCCTCAAGAGACTGGGTGGGAGTTGGGCAGCAGGTAGGGGATACAACATGGACCCTGACAATGGTAGCTCCTGACAGAGAGACTTGCCAAAGCAAATTATAATAGCCAGCACCTTTTCTGAGGAGCTGACAATGCAAGACACCCCAGAGTAAGAACAGGGAGAGTGAAGGCCAGTTTCCAGAACAGTTTGCAGAAAATAAAAAACCATGGTGGAATTTCTAAATTAGAGTTTTCAAATATTGTTGCATCCAACAGTGAATCCTTGACATAATCTCAATGTGGGTGGAGTTTTGGAACATTTTTGGTGCCTACCTCCTCTCTTAAAATTCCTGTAGGTGATAAGAAAATCCAAATCCCTTACTATTATGTTTCCATCCCATGGCCCCCACTTGAACACATTTGTGTTGATTTGCTTCATTTCTAAAGGATGGGGATTTGTGGAGCTGGTGACATTTCTTTCATTAGACACCAGAAATTCACCAGAGGGAGACAGATCTGTGCCTTCTCTTTTTAGGATCTGGTCATTGATACTTTAATAAATGTGGTGTAAAGAACGTACCTACAGTTCTGTTAAACAAATGTGACTTTTTTTGATAAGACTGTGTTCTTAATGTAAAAAAAAAAGTTTCTTTGTATCCAGTGAAATGCCTAATAAAGTCCTGGTACCAGTTATCTTTTTTTTTTCATGTTTATCGGTGCTTCATTATAAGCACAAAAGTGGGTCTCTTAAATAGGACTAAAAATACTAGCAGCCCCTGCTAGCAGCCATCTCCATACAAGGACAAATGACAACATTGCGGAGGGGACTTTGTGTTCAGGGTCCCAGATTCCCCTTAGCAGGATTCTCCCTTCCCCTATCCACACGAAACAAAACCTATTCCCTCAGAATCTGAAGAACTCATTCACAATGAAGTATGAACAGGGCTTAAGACCATGGTTTTCAAATGCTTCTTACTTTAAACAAGTATTTACAGAAAAGTGAAACTAACAAGACAATATATTAGAAGACGGTTTTCATAAGAGTAAGGCCAATAACTTTGTGTCCCCCTTTCCTATCTACAAGTTTTCTTGGTGAGCCTTATAGAAACTCCTAGAACTTCCTGGAGCGTCACTTCTCAAATGTTACTGTGCATACAATTACCAGGATCTTAATAAAATGCAGATTCCGGTTCAGCAAGTAAGGGATGGAGCCCCAGGTTCTGCTGCTAGCGGTGCAGGCATCCCACTTTAAGTAGCGAGGCTATGTAGCCCAACTTTGAAGAAACTGCTACAATGTCTTGACTTTTTGATGAGATTTATTTTGGGCAAAGAATAAATGACCAGCCCTTTAAATATAAAACCAATTTGAGTGGAGGACTTATTATAGGAAATAAGGGTGTCATCACTTTTTTTTTTTTTCCCAAACCTCGTCAACCTAAAACCACCAGTAACTACCTGTGGTCTGGTGAAATCAAGTTTACTTGCCCATTGCTACGAACGAGGCCACACAGAAGATGAAACATGGGCATCTCACTAAGCAGGAAAACATGGGGTAGTTACAGAGTTCTGTGAAACGGGGGAGTTTAGATAAAATTTAAGTGCAATACTATTTGGATAGGCTCAAAGCAAAGTTGGGCTGTGTCAAGGATCTGGACTGAAAAGCAGACCCAAGGCCCGGTTTCCTTTGGCCCCTACAAAGTTAATGCCGCTGTGGAATGTGGCGTGCAGAATCCCCTTATCGGAAGCTCTGCTCCCAGGTTGTGAACTGCGGCTGATTTTCCTCTGTCAAAGTGACTTAGATCCTGCGTGTAAGAGTGGGACGTTTCATTCTTACTGATATTATTTCAAGTAGCCAGAGTCCCTCAAGGAGGGGGTTAGTATGACATGTTAGAGCTGCAGTGTGTCCTTGGGACAAAAAGTTTTTCCTGTACACTTTATAAAGCTGGCTTTATCTATGCCTGGTTTTCCAGCCTGACGCATAGCCAAGCAGATTGTACTTTCTCAGTCCAAACTAATTTTTTTTTAATTAGTTTCAGGTGTACAACACAGTGCACTAGTTATACTTTTTACTCCTCAAAGTGACAATCCTCCTCTGCCAATCCAAGCTAATTTTTATCTTCTCAGTTGTAAGTGATAAAAATCCAACTCAATCTAAGCCAAAAAGTTGGGGATGGGCACACTTTCCAATGCTAATTGAAACTGAAAATGAAGCAGCTTTGGGGATAACCTGATCTGGGACCTCAAATAATATCATCAGGGTTTGATTTTTCTCCATCACTCAATTTTACTTTCCTCTGTATTGGTTATATTTAAGTAGGATTTTCCTGCACTGGGTGAAGATGTCCAAAGAGTACTTCTTTTTCCCAATAGTTTCAACCAAGAAGCAGACTTGAGTCTCGCTGGTCTGCGTGGTCCTGAAGTGAGTTTCTCAATCAAGCACTGAACACATGAGAATGGGCTGAGAATGGAGAACTGGTGACTTACAAGGAAAAACAAAGCTCTGTTACTGGAAGGTGTGAGAAGGTTCTCTAGTCAAGTACAAATACAGATGTGTGCCCATACAAAGGCTCTTCCAAAACTTTTGGAAGTCATGCGTAGGGGGCATTCATTGCCTTTATTTACTCATCGGGTAGGCCTTAACTGCTTTGACTTCCCTTCCGAATTCCAGAGGAGATGAGAAAGAATTCAGGGAGGGGTATCACAGAGAGCAGAACCCGGGGAGGTAAAGGACTCTGCCCCATCAATTCCTGTTTTCCGTGGGCCACTTGGGAAGGGACTGAGAGGGGCCTCTGATTCAATCATTTCAAATCTTTCTAGCAACAACTCATCCACCTTCACGTCCAATCCCAGTGGTTCAGTAGATGCCAGATCAGTTCTGTGGATGAGGAGTCAGGCAGGGCTTCTTTCCCTGCTTGAGAAGAAACAGAACCAATTAGCGCTGGTAGGCATCCAGGGGATTCTGGTTTTTCTTTTTGTTTGTTTATTTGTTTGTTTTTATGACACAAGCGGTGTCCATACTTTTCTTCCTTCCCTCCAGGGCATCTACCAGAGAAGTATGAGTTAGAATTTTTATGCCCCAGGAAATTCTAAGGAGTGAACAAATATTGACCTCCTTCTTCACCCTCTGCTTCCGTTGGTTATCCTTCATTCTATCCTTTCCCAGATGCATAGTCAGTCCCTCCTTTGCATGCTCAAAAAAGGCCTTCTATTGAAAACTACACTTTGCCCACTCTTATGAAAAAATAAATTACAACATTTAGAATGCTTCCCCTCTTAAAATAAACTTTACACATGCATTATCTCACTTAATACTCACAAAACCCTACCAGAAAAATATCTTATTTTATAAATAAAGAAACTGGAGTTCAGAGATTTTAAATGACCTATTCAAGTTCACATAGCTCATGAGCAAAGGGTGGTTTTTACCCATGTCCTTTTACTACAGATCTCATTATTTTTCACTAGGTTGCATTATAATTGCCTCGCTTTCCCTCTGACATTTACCTCCCTCCCTGCTACAATTACACCACTATACCAACCCAATAAGATTTTAGAAGAGCTCAGTTACTCTACGAGTAAACTCACATTATCCAACTAGAAATGGATTAACTGTGGACATATAGCATACTGAAGAAAGATCTAAACTCTTCAGTTAATGAAAACAGACACTTCATCAGGTAAAACAGAGAAGTATAATTTACACTAGTTACCAATGAGCTTAAGGAAGGCTTAAATTGCCCTAAGTTACAGGATCCTGGAGAATCTGAAAGCCAACATTCTAGCCAGCCAATATCCTGGAAATCAAAGCAAGCCACCAAGAGCCTAACAGACCAGGAAAACCAAGGCAAAAGAGTTGGGGTAAGAAAAAAGAGAGAAAGAGAAAATCAGGGGATGGTGTGTTGGAAGAGAAAACTGACCTTTCCCCAGCTTTCATTATCTGCCCGGTATTTTATCCATGTTATTTATTTCTACCTTGACAGCTGTGAAGTACAACAAGCAGGACCTCTCAAAGAAGAGTAATGTTCAAAGCATTGCGAAATTTGTAAATAGCATTTTAACCCAGAACTGTCTGACTCCAAAGCTCATATTCTTTGCACTAAAATAGAAGACATAAGAAAAGAAGGGGAAAATCTAATCTATTCCCAAGAGTCCTGAAATACTTACCAATAAAACATGGTTACAATAACTGTATTTAAGCCAAAAACACATTCCAAGGGGTCTGAAACAGGCCAGGCAATATGAAGTCTAACTATATCACCTCTTCCTGCAATTGCTCTGAGTCATTATTATTGATTTGATTTGATTGCTCTGCATTTTCCACTGACAGCTGCTTAGAGGTAGGTGGCTCTCATTGATTAGCTACAACTTGTATCTGCCCAACAATATATAAACACATATTTACTGAAGTGCTTAAACGAAAGGACAATGTCTGACTCCCCAATGATGAGTCAACTTAGGCAATTAGCTAACACAAGTTCAGAATCACAAAACTTCTTGTGTTGGGAAGCCCTTGATAGAGCCTCCTGTCTTCTTGCACATGCCGTTTTCAAGTGTGAAGAGTTTTTTTACCAAGGTAGTTAAAAGGAAGTCAATTTTGTCAAAAAAGAATAATGTGTAGTCCAATGTTTCACCTGTTTTCATCAGTTTAACCATAAAGATGTATACCCAAGCCTAATGAAAAATTCAGAATCTCAATAAATAGCCAAACTCTCATTAGGAAGAGACATTCATTCATTCATTGAATTAATATTTTAACTAAAAACTTCCATTTTCTTGGTAGTCTCTTATATCTTATAAATACAGAGGTGAACAAGGTATAAGCATACTTGTCCCCCTGGGAAATTTTTACATCACAGCAGAAAAATGAAATCCAATTATTACACAAATAATCACATATGTGATTATATAATCACAAATGTGATATGATATATGAAGTGAAAATCATGAGTTGTGAGTGGACATACAAAAGAATCACCTGACTTCATCTAGGGGCTATAGTAGGCTCCTAGAAGTGATGCTTTGAGTTCAAAAGGATAAATAGGTGCTGGCTAGTTGGAGAGAGAGTAAGATTCAGGGAGACCATGGGTAGCATCATTAAGTAGAAGAATGAATTGTTCAGGTGCCAAAGGGAATTCCAGTATGGATCACAAAAATTGAGGGGGGAGGAGCTTGAGAAGGAGCTAAAGAGGTTATTCAAGGTCTTATGGACTGGGAGACACATTCTGGACTATAATTTAAAGGCAATTTGTTGCCATTAAAGGATATTAAGCAAGAGAGTGAAGTAATCATATTTGTTTGTTAAAAGATTTCACTGGATGCTATGTAGAAAATACATTGGAAGGACCAAATAAAAATATTTTGCAAGAATTCAGGAGAAAGATAATGATAGCTTGGACTAGAATAAAGGCAATGGAGGTGGATAAAATTCGGTGGGTTTGAAAACACAGGATTTAGTATTTGACTCAATATGGGGGTCAAGAAGAAAGAGAGTCCAATGTTATTTCCATGTTTTTAACTTGAGAAAATCAACAAATTGTTGTGTTAATTATGAAAATGGAAGAAATTCCAAGATGCACACATTTGGAAAGATGTATCATGGATTCAGACTGTGTTCATAATGAATTTTAGACACTTGTGTGATGGGGAGAGCTCTTTAGTAGGATGCTGGGTGAACTGGCTGAAGATACAAATGT